ACACACACACACACACACACACTTATTTATTGATATTTTAATTATTTAATTCATTTATTTTAGTGTTTAGATTGTTTTAAACCTAACCTCAAATATCTTCAGTACTCACATCTTTCATATGCTTCAATGATCGTTACAACTTCGTCATTACATCTTGTACAAAGCATTTCAATTAAATGGTCTTCTTTCGTTTCAAGCCCTGATAAAGCGTTTAGTTCCGTGGCCAAAAAGTCAGCTATAGGAGTCAGAAGGGCTACAAGAGTACTCTCAAAGTCACCACTTAATTCATTTCGTAAGTCATCAATAAGTTCCTGTAAACAAAATATTGCTTTACTTTCAATGTCCTAATTCGGCGTATTAAGTTTAGTACTATTTGGTGTTTACTTTTCACAAACACATACTTCAGTTTCCCCACATTGTTTTACACAAAAATCACTTTTAGATCTTCCATCATATCTCCACGTACGGCAAAATTTTGGTAGAGTTCGAAAAGACAAATTCAATAACATTAAATGAACAATATCCTCGATAACGTCATTAGTACGAAAAAAAAAAATCGTATGATTAGAATATCAAAATGCGCAACCAACTAATATTCAACGTCAAATTTGCAATTAAAAAGAAACTGACGTTTACGATATTCACGCTTGTGTTTGTTGTAAATCCTGGATAATATTGTTGGGTATCTGCTTGTTTGTTAATTTCCGGTAGAAATTCTTTAAGGAATTTCAGCGATACAAATCCTTTCTTGATTAAACCAGTTTATTCTTCCTCGATGCAAACTTTTAGCACACAGTAATTTCACAATCAGTACATTTCTCGTCACTTTAAACTTAACTACTTTTATAATACACGTTATAAATCACAGCGATTTACAATCTCGATAACTTTCCTCTCTACGAGTGCGAAACACACTTTGTTACCGTAACTACTGTTGCTTCTTTAATTAGCTATGTCTCGCCGTTTTCTCTGCCAGGCTTACATACTAAAGAAGAGGGCGTTTGGAACGCTCTAGGACTCCACTGAAAATTCATGACCATTCGAGAAACTCCTCGCACGCGCCACCAGCGTAACGTGACTTCCGCTGTCGTAACAATATTAAAACTATTAGCACAGTTGTAATCGCATAAAAAATATCACATCTTTATATTTGAATAGCAGTTAGAAATTGCCAGATAGACATTTTAACGCAAGTGAAATGAAGCTAAGAAAGCATTGAAACTTGCATTAAGTAAATATTGTACGTTATAACATTAGTTAAATTCAAATACGTGCATTAATATTAAGGTACCAAGTCAGCTCTTCGTGTAGACTGTTGTACAATGATGAATAGTAAGAAAGTTCAAAGTCTAACTAAAAACATTACCTGTTCAAACTGAGTTTTGTAAGAAGAGGAAATCTCTTGTCTTTCAGAATTGGTACGATGTGCTAATATATCTATCATTGGCTGTTCATCTGTTCCTGAAAGACATTTAAGTTTAAGTTAATATGCTCGAAAAACAAGATTAAGTCATTCCTACATTCACATATTGGAGGGAAGAAAATTCACTTTAACCTTACATTTAGTTGAAAGATAACTAATTTTTAAATAAATTCACTTAAAGTGGATGTACCGATATTGTGAATAGTGCATAACATTTGCTTGAGCAATTTTGAAACTGTTAAAAAGACATTCAACTTACCTAATCCTACCATACAACTCTTTAATGTAGCAGCGTCTCCCACTGGATCGAATGACTTGCTTGGTCTGAGCGTTGCTTGCCCCTGGGGAGCAAAACATTTGGATGAAAAACAAAACAAAAACAACATTAACGACAAA